GATGCGCAAGGTTCGGCTGACCTGCTGTGGCACCACATAATCAAACATATGGGACTACCCACAGTCATAGTCAGCAACAGAGACCCAAGATTCCTGTTATAGGAATGGACCTAGAATCTTATGGTCTGTGACTATGAACAATCAAGCCTTTGGTCCCTTCACCTTTATTTCACTGTCAAACCCCATGCCAAGCTTTCCCACTGGGTTTTGGTGCTGGCTGGGGAATTTGTTGAGTTTCAAGGGACTTCCCTTGACCATTGTGACTTTTATATTAGATAGTTAGAAGTCATATGATGTGTAAGGCAGATGCCGAAAAATGTCTTTCTTCATTATCAAATACATAACCCACAAACCTTGTACCGCAATTGTAACATCCTCACCTTTGTGCCACCACTGTAAACTCAACCTGTAACCTCGGAACCATGTCCACCTCCCTATTCATCCTCTCCATGACAAAACCACAGCGAGGAGGGCATTCCCATGCCCAACCTCCTGCTGCCCGCTCCCACCAGTCCACTGGGTGGTTGAGCGGTCACTCCCATCCAACCAGAAGTTCCCTATCGGGAACTGTAGCCTATCCCACCTCCTTAGGAGAGGGATATAGTCCAGGCAGCTCCAGAATGTCTGGCCACGCACCCGCGGGTCCCACACAACTCCCACTACCGGTACGCTCCCGTGAGTGCCAAGTCACCGATAGCCACCAACTGGGTGACTCCCTTTGGGAGTCCCAGTATCCCACGCTACCGGTACGCTCCATTGAGCGCCAAGTCACCGCTAGCCAACCGCTCCCAGCACACCCGCTACTGGCACGCTCCCAGGAGCGCCAAGTCCCCATTAGCAGACAGCCAGGTGGCTCCCTCAAGGAGCCCATGTCATACTCGCTACCGGTATGCTCCCAGGAGCGCCAAGTTACCGTTGGCCAACCCACAGGTTACACTGCCAGACACTCATCCCATTCCGCTCTCCCTCTGATGGCTACGCAGCCACCTCCATTAGTGAGCTGAACGGTTCAGGTTGGGTTCCCCGGAACCCATTCCTGTAACAATTCCTCTCAACTTTCTGGACTTCCCTAGCTCATCATTTTGATACTAAACTGGCGATGTCCACCGCTGCTCACCCCCAAACAGACGGTCAGATGGAAGTCATGAATCAACAACTGGAAGTCATGCTAAGAGCCTTCATCAATAAGGACCGAGACGACTGGCACGAATATTTGGACGTCCTCATGTTGGCATATAACAACAGCCCTCACACGGCCACAGGCGAGACCCCGGCCTCACTACTACTCATGGGATTCCGACCCTGTCTTCCCAGTTCATTCCTCGTCCCGGAGGAAGGTCTCAATGTCAGGGCAGAGGAGAGGGTGAAAGGCCTAAATCTTCGACGAAAATGGGCCCGTGAAGCCATCTTCAATGCCCAACAATCACAGATTAAAGCTTATAATTCTAAACACAAGGAAGTTATATACAGCGCAGGCGACCTAGTTCTCATCGACCCCCACAAGTTAAACCTCCTGGAAGCAAAAGGGGAAGGGCGCAAACTGATGCAGAGACACATAGGACCCTTCGAGGTAACAGAGGTGATTAATGACAATGTGTATCGGCTAAGGCTCCCTGACTCCTACCCGATGCACAATGTGGTCAATGTGGCTCACTTAAGGCCATACCGGCCCACAGGAGACGACTCGCGACCCCACCTATCCAACCCTAGAGATGACATTAGAGCCTCGGAAGAGTTCGAGGTGGACGATGTGGTGGGGCACAGGAGACGAAAGGGGAAAACGTTATTCAGAGTTCAGTGGAAAGGGTATGGAGCCCAGGAAGATACATGGGTGACGGAAAGAGACCTCAGAAATGCACCTGAAATACTGGCGAAATATAAATCGAGGACTGGCTTGAGCAGACGCTATTAAGCGCCTACTGCCCAATCGAGCAAAGTTGGGACTTCCCGAGTCGGAGCCAGATCACGGCATCAACCAATCATCGCTCACTCCTGATCACTATCGATCTCTCCCACTTCTCAACCTTGTCCCATGTCGCTAGCCTTAGCCAGCATCAGCCAAAGGCCTGCCCCCAGCAACTCTGTTGTGATCACCAACGCTCATAGAGTGGATCATGCCGGACTAGAAGCCATTGAGATCGACATGGAGCCTTTCAAAATCGCTTCATCACATAGTATGTGGTTGAATGGTCAGTTTGGGGTGTCAGATCCTGTATTCTCCTATGTACCCGTTAGAAGCCTGGGCTCTGGTCCTCATCTGCTCGATCGACTATGGATACTGGTTCCAGAAGACCATCATCTCAACGAGGTGGAAGTGTTGAAAGAAAACCATAACCAAAATGTACCGCCCAGAGCCCTTACCCCGCTGCTAGAGCGTTGGCAGGCAGCTGTCAGGGACTGCGTGTCAGTTCACAACGATGAGGGTGTTCCCGAGAATCCTAGTCGTTGTTAATGCTGAGGCGCCACCCTCAGCAGAGATAGGGGTTATATACATGGGTACCGCTACCCACTAGAGTGTGGTTACAATGAGATAAGAGCTAACCGATAGAATGACGACATGAAAGAGATAAGTATTCATTCGGGTAATCGTAAGCGAGGTGTGGGAAAGGGGTGACATGTGGACGGAAGATAGAAGCGGGAGCTAAGCGAGAGCTAAGCGAGATTACCTGCGTTCTTCAGATCACTCCGGATCGTCTTACGGCAACTCCCTTCCGGCATAGGGAGTCAGGGTAGCCGGTAAGGCCGTGCCCTGACAGCAGCCAAGACGGCCACACTCGCAGCTGAGGCCCACTCGTCCCTACGACTACCAGCAGAATTGCATGACGTCATCTACAGAGTGGAATCGGAAGCTGGAGGAGACCACGAACAAGATCGAAACGCTTTTGCCTTCCAATTTGCTCCATTGCAGCATCCGATTATCATAGTACTACATCTTACGCATCATCTCTCTTCTTGTGGCTTTCGTTAACTTCGTCTGGGCACGAGACCGCCTGTCGCTGGATTCCATCAATCTGGATCGGGAAGTAGACTGGTTCGAACCTCCAAAAGGAATAATTGTTGAGGATGGCTCAGTCGATGACCAAACCACGTTGGAACTGCTCAAGCTGATGCCATATGTGGCATGTGGGTTGGCCTGTCACCGGAAAAAGGACAACCACCTGGAAAATTTTGACTCACCAGACTGCACCGCCAGGGCACGGACCCTCTTAGCTCAGCACCTTGGAGACTCAAGGTTACAATGGTTCTTCGACTGGCCAGTGTGGGAAGGCCCCCAGACCCGTTACCAGGGATGTGTCAAAAACCCGGATCATAGGGGAAAATGCGTGAGTCCGAATGCAGGCAGGGCTCAACTAGAGGGGATCTGGGAGCTCCGGTAGTGAACCGAAGCTTCTCCAGGAAGCCCAGTTCTGCTGGATGGTACAAGAGGCTCTAAGAAGGACGCGGCCTCAGCGACTCGGAGGGAGCACTGTGCCTCCATTATGTCTCAGTTAGTCCTTGTATTTCTTGTGTCTGAGGTATCTTGTAGAAAGGGGTTGGGATTCATTCAGAGGGACATGGGGTAACATTTTAGTCGAGATTAGAACTGGGGAAAACTACAGGTTCTAATCTACAGGGAGGAATGGAAAGGACTTTAGTCAAAGTCCGAATGATAATAGAAAACACCGAAAGGTGCCAAATGATACCGAGAGGTCCCGAACGATATCCTTAACGGGGAACTGAGGTGTCGGGTCAAGGAGGGCAGAGTAAGAGGCCAGAAGATGAATGGGAACGACAAATGGGTAAGAGGGGGTTAGCCGACTGAATGGTAAGAAGAAGATAGTTGTGCTATAAATGGAAGGTAACTAATAAGTGATGATGTGAGTGGGGTCACCAAAGGATGCGGATAGCTCCGAAAGCGGAGTTATGTATCCGAAGGATGTTGGGTGACTCCAATAAATGAAATGGGTGGGGAAATGGTTTAGGGGTATGTCATGGGATGTTGGAGATCCGTCGGGAGATCGGAGCAAATCCGGAGTCTCCGAATGTTCCGACTCGGGGCCGAGCTTCCGGGATGGGAGTGGCCAAGGTTCGGTGTGCCACAAACAGGCCGGAGCTGAGACAGTTAGGAAGGAAGGTGACTTGGGGAGTGGGGAGTTATGGTGTAGGGGATGGTGAAATTGTTAGGAAGGTGTGGTGTGGTGGGAGAGCGCGGGGTCAGGATTCCGGGATATGACAGGATGGAGGATCGAGACTCTTATTTGTGAAAGCTGACATGGCCTGGACCACCCACATCCAGTCAAGATCTTTCCACTCTCAAGTTGGTTGAAAGGAGGCGATACCATAGAGCTTTCTATTACGTGGACACAGGACGATTCATGACTCATAACGAGGCTACAGATGTGGTGTTGGAAGACAATGCGGAACGCCATCTACTACAACCTAACCAACTGATGGTCATCGACAATGATGTCAAACCACAGAACGAAGACCTTACCGTCCATGACCTTGCTGTCCCGGATTCCTTTCCTCCTTCCCCTGAATGGCCTGGAACTGGCGATTCGTTGTTCTCACTGAATTTTGGGACACCGTCTTCCTTGCCGGTTCCCCTTTCCTCAACCGCATTGTCCGCCTCATCCTCCCTCTCAAACACCTCGAGCCTGGCTCGCTGGCAGAGACTCCCAAGAGAGGAGAGGAGGTCGAATCCTTACCCCGGGTCCAGAAGGGCGCACATAGCAAACCGTCCCGATCAACCATGCTGGCGTATGCAAGACGAGCCATATAACTCTGGGGCCGACTCGTACCATCCGGAGGACCACAGCCATGAAAGATCTTGGCATTGGGAAGCCTCCTGAGACTCGCTAGTTCAGAGGGAACCTCAAACAAATTCTCGATCCCTGAGTGCAAGGGGTCCCTCATCAAGCTTAGTGCCGTATCAATCCCCTTCGACATCCTCAGCTCCGCGCGCTGCCCCTGTCGCCCTGCCAGTGAATCCCACCTGGGTAGTGGACAGCAGCTCAAACATGGCCGTACCTGCATTCGTGGTCAATCTGGCCACACCTCCTCCCCAGGCCCTGTATCCGGCGCCACCTTCTTACCATCACGTGTCAGAGTACAGCCCGGTTAAGTCCAGACTGCTTACACACAACTGATGACACACCTGCCCCATACCCGCACAGCCTGATCATCATCCCTGGACTGGCACAGACATTTGTTATATTTCCTTCTGTAGAGCGGCCCCGCTTTGCCGGGTATACTGACTTTATCATTCCCTGGGTAGTGAGTGAGGAAGATAACTTTCTTCTCTCACTTCCCCTCGCTGCTCAGCTGGAATCCCTATCGCAATCCACTTTGCCGGGTTCCCCCATTGAGACTGATCCTGTCCCCCTTGGCCTCAGCTCCAGCGAAGGCTCGGGATCCCTTGACTTAGAGTCCGAGCAGCTCGGTACCCTGACATCACGGAAATGTGCCACCTTCCTACGCGTCCTCATCGCATCCATGTGATGATCCCTATGATTACCCTTCCATTCGGTGCCATTCACGATCTAGGAGCTGTTCCCCTCATCAAGATGATCGTTGATGGCATGGCCCTCATCTGCCCCAACACAGTCGGTAGAGACTGGGGGGTGATGTTATAGGAATGGAGTCTCTTGCGACCGTGTCGACTGAACGTCAACCACAGTGGGTCCTCCTTCTCCACATCCTCCCATCTCTTTCTTACATTCTCCCCACTTTCCCCCCTTTTTTTATACACTCACTCCATGCTAAGCTTTCCCTTATTGGGTTTTGGTGCTGGCTGGATTATTTATTCTATTTTGCGAGACTTCTTGCGATCATTCTTATTCAATAGTTAGTGTCACGTTCATGTACGGCTACAGCCGAAAAAGACGGAACAAAACGAATAACACACCCTCACCTTCTGTGCAACAACTGTAAACCTCCTTGTGCCAACACTGTAACGTCTGTGTAAGATTGTATATGTCTCAGTCACCATCTATATGGGTCATCCCTACCGAGGTTGACGACTCTAGCCATGGATCATCAAGTTTGTGTGCGACTCAACTCAGGTATGCACAAACACCTTCTGTTACGACTCACATCACTCACCCAGGTACCGGGCTCTCGTCTGTCTCACCTCACGGTGAGAATCTGGTTAACTCTATGGACGGATTAGTATTCGATACAAGCCCATCCCCCTTGTCGCTGGTACACTCTTGCAAGCGCCAAGTAGCTGCCGATCCCACCACATGTCATTTGACCTATGATCGACTAACCCCTCCATCACCAGTACGCTCATACAAGCGCCAAGTACCCATTGACACGAACACAGACCGTTCGCCAAAGGAACGGTCTCATACCCCGTTGCCGGTACGCTGTTGTGGGGACAACTCCATGTACCGCAAAAAGTCAGATTCTGCGGAATTTGGCCACCAACATACACCACATACCCTCTGACGCTCCCGATGCTCATTCTATCACTATCCAACACTCATAAACTCATTCCTTATTTTTCCTTATTTTCCCCATCATTCCCGACAGCCCCAAGGAAAATTCCCATGCCCAACCATGCCGCTAATTTCACCCCCTCTCCAGATCTCCATAACCACACATACAACCCAGCCATCTTTCTACCCGTTGGTGATGCTATACCTTCCTCCTTTACCCCCAGAGCACTTCCCAGAATGGCAATCCCATACCCGGATGGTTCAGCACAGAGTATAGTCTCACGAGGTCTTGACAGCACCTGTCAATGGCCACATCTCAAGAAGTACTGCACCAATTGGAATGAATAGGGGCTCGTTGGAAAGCTGGAGACGAGGATGTTGCTGACGGGAGGATAGGCGGGCGCTGTGGCGAAGTGTTGCGGAGTTAACCTTCACAATTTCCATTTCGGACCCGTTATCACATATTCCCCATTCATTCATTTTTCTTTTATTGTTTCTTTGTTCCAATTGGATATTCATCATTTACGGTTGCCTAACGGCCCGTTTACATTCCCCCATGCCATTAATTCCATTTCAAACATATATAAACTAGATAACAGCTTGTACATAACAAGTATTGAATAGACCCGTGAAGGGACAAGCAGAAGTTGCATCCAAGTGGCAAAGACACCATCCACGACCCTAACGCCCCCTTGAGATTGTTGCTCACGTCTAAGACCCCTCTCATCATAATACTCAGCCTTGACGTCCAAGAGAGACGTAGGTGAGTGTTTGTTTGAGGTTTTTGCAGACTCGGTAGCGCCCCAGGACCAAAACCCAGCTCCACGAACCACACCCACGCACACTACCACCCTCCCCCTTCTCTCTGTCTCGAGTCTAGGCGATAGACCCATTACAACGCCCATCTGGGCGCCAAGTATCTGTCAACCCAGCCTCAAGTAGCTCCCTCAAGGAGCTGGAATCTCATTCGTTGCCGGTACACCCATCTGGGTGCCAAGTACCCGTCAACCAAATCTCAGGAAGCTCCCTCAAGGAGCTGTTATATCACTCGCTACCGGTACACTCCCTTGAGCACCAAGTACCCGCTAGCCCTTTGTCCTCAACTGGTCCAGTTCTGGATATCCCCTTTGCCTGTGATCCTATACACCTGTGCACAGTATGCTCACATAACAAGCGCCAAGTATCCGTCATAGCAGACTCCCATTCACCACGAGGTCCCAGCTTTCTGTCAAAAGCTCTAAGGCTATCGGACAATACTCATTACACAACTAGGCCACCCTACATACATGAGGTCAACGATTCCAAGTCGTCTATAAGGACGGAAAGAAATGGATTACCCATAACCCATTTCTTTAACACCGTCAACCCAACCTCAGGAAGCTCCCTCAAGGAGCTGTTATATCACTCGCTACCGGTATGCTCCCTTGAGTGCCAAGTACCCATTAGCCTCTTGCCCTCGACTGGTCCAGCTTGGGATATCCCCTTTACTTGCGATCCTATACATCTGCACACGGTATGCTCATGTAACGAGTGCCAAGTATCCATCGCAGCAGCACCACGAGGTCCCAGCTTTCTGTCAAAAGCTCTAAGGCTATCGGATGATACTCATTACACGACTAGGCCACCCTACATACACAAGGTTGACGATCCCAAGTTGTCTATAAGGATGGAAAGAAATGGATTACCCAGAACCCATTTCTTTAACAGTATCGGCCTGCCTAGTGCTATCCCATCGACTAAGGAGGGCCATTGCACCCCTGATGTGTGGCTAGGCACATCCATACAGCTGTCAGGTCCAGCAGTGGAGCTGCGCGATGATTTGGAGGCTGTCAAGCGGTGGGGCATTCTTGTGTATCGAGAAGTACATGGCCGCATTGTGAACCAGGAAGTGGTTGGCCAGGCTGGTACAACTCACTGTCTTAACTTGCTCTGCAAGACACAGGAGGGAGCTCAAAGCCTCAAGCGATACCTCCAAGCAAGATACCCCGATGCTGTTCTCAAAGATATTGAAATGGAGGACTATACACCAAGCGGGTGGATATATCAGTGAGACTCTTTCTCATGGGTTTGACAAGACCACAGTCATGACTCTCCTGGATCATTCACCAGCCCCTCTCATCCCTCAAGGTCCAGACACCATGCCTAGTGAGATAGCCAAACTCTGGGCCCGGATCTACTCACAGGACCTCTTCAAATACAATCGCTTCCAGATTATGACAACAACAACCAACTCAGGATGCATATTGTTCAACGTGATTGAGGTGACGTTCAGATCTGAGGTGCTTGAAAAAATGTGCCTGCATAGGCCTTTCAAGTTGAGTGAAGAGGAATATCTACATCTCCTTTGTTTCTGCCTCATCCTTTTCACCTTCACCACTTCAAGTGTGCATTCTGCCAAAGGATCTACCCTGCAGAAGGTTCTATCTACCCCCATGTTGTTCATTTCATTGCTGATTCTGCAAGGCACCTTTTTGAGGGCATCGAACTTTGAACAACAGAGATGTTGAAGAGGTCAGGAAACCTGCCTCAAGATGAGTTTGTGTCTATTCACTGGCAGCCCAAAACTGGCCTCTTTGCACTTAAAGTGGCAGAGAGCCCTCCTGCTCCCCAAAACTGGCTGACTGTGGAAGAATTACATTCCCATTTTCAGTTGTAGATGCAGTGGCCATCTGTGGCTGTTTCCTATGTATGCTAGAACCTGCAAGCTGCCCTACTCCCATTACCTGTTGCTCAGCCCATGGGTTGGGTCTTATAACAGCATCTTTATTGTAAATAGCTTCGAAATACAATCCCTTACTCTGGCAATGTAGGCCCACATATTGATAATGTCTTCCTCCTCGCCAGCCTCGATCTCATCAAGCAACTGTAACACCTGCATTGAAATGCCCCTGCCATCGGCACCCCTTTCGCAAAGCTCCTGTCCAGCAGTGTGGACCATTCTCCAGTGTTGCCCAATGTTCAAGACATTGGGAGGTGGCTCCCACCTCTCAACATACTGGGCAACAATGTCAATCCTTACAAGGAGTTCAACATCTTCTGCCGCTAGCGCCTGCAAATGAAGGCCTGGAAGGATTCTCCATGCGCTCCGCCACACTGAGTGGCGTGCACACTTGAAGGCATCAAAGGTAGGAACCTCACCACTCATGCTCATTGTTGAAGATGGTGTTGTAGTCCATCTACCTCTTGTCTGATTTCCTTTTCTTTTCTTTTTATGTGTCACATGACTGCAGAGATGAACTCTATCTGTTTCTACTCTTGTATAAACATTACAGTTCATCTCAGTTCATCTCAGAGGTGCCATAACCTGAGTTACAACAGATGGTGCCTCCAATGGTTCACAAGCCGCTGTCCCTCCATTCACAGCAAGGTGTGTGCCTCCGTTATTTATGATCCTTGACACCTCTCAAACCTCAACAGGAGTACTAGCCACTATCCCTTCGTTCACAGTGAGGTGTGCACTTCCAGTATTTATGATCTTTGGTGCCTCTCAAACTTTGACAGGAGTACTGTGCGGCATTGGATGGATTAACCTAATAGGTGGGATGACCATTGGCATAGGCAGCTCCATATTCATTTTACTGGCCTGTGCTGTGAAGATGTTGTTTTCCGGTTCGTCAGGGAGTTGCAGCCCACATTCCTGCCAGGGGGCTTGATGTGCGGCCTGCGGAGATCCAGCTAGGTCTATCACCTCCATTTTTACTGGCAATGAAGACATGCTCAGTTCAGGCAAGTGTTTGGGTGGTGTTTCAGGCACTGTTTCCTCATCCTGTGGACCCATCGCCTTGCTCTCAAGTAGGGCAGTCTTCCTTCCCTGTTTCTTGGCCCTAGGTGTTTGTCACGACCGACAAATCCCGGGGCTCCGTCAGCGGCGAACCAATGCCGATAGGCGAATCCGCCGACCCGAAACCCATCCTAACCAGCCCCCAACCCCATGTCTGGCCCCCTGCCTTACTGCATGAGACTTGGCCAAGAATCAGAACCTAGACCCTGCCGGTATTCCGACCTTACCTCCAGTTCCTGAGCCCTTGGCGCTCCCGGCATTCAGTCACGCCTGCCTTGTCTCCATCTGAACCACACTCATCGCTTCCCGCTATGTGGTCACAGCCATGCCCCGCTTCCGTCCACTCCGCACCCTCTGCCCACTCCGCACCCTCTGCCCATCTCTGCACCTTCTGGCCACTTCTGGTTGCCCTTGACACCTCTGGTCAGGTCAACACTCCCACTCCCCTCTGTACCTCTGTTGGCCTTCATGCTGTCCTTGTGTGACAGTGCTGGCAGATCAACTTCTGTTCGCGGACTTGTGTCGGCACCACACCGACCCCGCTTATTTGCGGACTTGTATCGGCGCCGCGCGCTGACCTCCGCTTTTCCTCTGGCCATTTGTCACTTGGCAGCTTATCATTCATTCCTTGCCGAGTGCCATTTATTGTTTGCTTCCCTGCCAATATCGGCATTTGATCCCCTCTTTATTGGCACTAGGTTATTGATCTCATTCAGTTATTCATCAATAACCCTTGCCACTTATTGTTTAGTGATCTGTTCCTCCTTTCCAGTTCCCGGGCTCTTGTCCTTATTTAGTTTGACAATCCCCGCTTATCTCCGCGCCGGACCACGCCGGACTGACCGGCCTTTCTATATTCCCTCTTGCCTATTTATATACCTTGTAAATACTTTTGGGGACCTCAGTCTGAAATCAACTAGAGTACCCCCCCTGTCTGGTCTGAGTCTCTCCTTCTGCAAAGGGGGCTTCCCCCCTCTGAGTCCGTGCTCGCGGAGTCCGCGCTCCTCCTACAGGTCCGCTCCGCCCGCAAGTCTTGTTTGAAGTCCGCTGTGAGTGTCAATCCGTAAATACGGGATCTCCCCCAAACGTCAAGCTCAGGGCACAGCGCTCCACCTGAGTCGCTGAGGCCGCGATCCCACTCTGCTAACCTTGAACAGCGCTTCCGGACGCGCCGCATATTTCCGCCCGCATATCCGCGTGCGTGCTCCAACAGACCTCTGCCACAATCTCTGACCCCGACTCAGACAGAACCCAATCCATCGTCTATCTGTCTTCTGACAGTCTGCCAGACTCCAACAATATTCCCAGTCTCTGACAGCATCCCAGATCTCTGACAGTATTCCGAGTCCGACAAGAATCCCGACTCTGACAGTGTTGCACAAGGACGTTTGGTTGAGGTGTGCATACGTACGGCTCTAGACCCCTTTTGATTCGCTTAGGAGATGGGGTGGGTATTGTGCTGTCTCCAATCGAGCCTCGTTCCAGAGACACAGTGGTAGGGTCTGGGGTGCTTCCCTTACATTTGTGGGATGATGCCAGGATGATGGTCATTTTCTCAACTGCTCTCCTTACTTCATTTTGAGGTAAATTTACTGACATTGCCATTCCCATCCAGTGCACAGTGTAACACCTCACGCTTCAGGTACTCATCTGGTAAGCCCATACCCATCAGTCATGCCTTTTGAGTTTCATTGACATTCACTGTACCATCTGTCATGTGTTCCACCCTTAAGGTCTGCACCGGATCCTCATGATCAAACTGTAACATGCACTGTGCAGTTTCACGTGGGGTCCAATCACATGGAAGCCCTCTGTTTAGGCATTGAACACTGCAATGCCAACTGGCAAAACAGAGACAGTGTTCAAGCAAGAACAGAAGTATGTTGACACCTCTCCAGTTGTGCCCAAGGTCCATTATGCCTGTTGCCTCCTCTACAAGTAGACATCACCAATGAGCAAAGCGGATAGTGCTGCAAAAGTAGGACATATGAATCATGGCTTTGAGCTTCCCAGCACAATCAGTGTGGTGAACGGTATGCACCCCATATGCCCAGTCTATAGTGCTCAGGCCTTCCCTCATCTTCAATAAAGGTGTGTGATAATCCACATCCTCTGCATCACACTCAACCTCTGATTTGCAGTAGTGTTACCCAAATATCGGTACAGATCATCACTGAAATGGATGCTTTGCTTTGCATGCGTCACAATGGACTTCATGAGGTCAGAGGCCCCAAACACCTTGCTGGTAGACGTTTTGGAGTTGTTGAATGCTCCAAAATGATGAAGGAAGTCTCTGCAGCAATTTCAGCCTGCACAGACTGCGAGGAGAAGTCACTCATACCTCTGTTTGATGGTGTCAGGTTGATGTGGGCTGAGGGGGATACAAGTAAGCCAACAGTACCCTTCTAAACATAAACCCATGCCTGAATGCCTTTATTCCATTGTAAAAGTTTCTCATCGCCAATGCGGCATCCTCTGTGAGGGGTAGGCCCATAGCTTTGACCATTTCCACAATCATTGGAGAGCTAGTAAAAGTGATAGTTGAGTCTCGAGGGGAAAGTGTGTCATCTGCTATGAATCCCCCTTACAGCCACACCAATGGGGTGAATGGTGCTGAGTGTGACAAGCTACCACAAAGCCTTAGTTGAACCAAATCTAGTAGTCCCTAGAATCCTGTCCACTGTACCTGAGCAGTGTACTTTCCAGTTACCTTCTGTGTCAGGACACAGCGAGGAGGGAGCATGCCTGGACCTTTCCCCGGAAGGGAGGCCAGAGGTAGAGGACAGGCAGAAGGACCATGGCCTCAGTGACTTGGAGGGGAGTGCTGTGCCTACATTCGGTTAATGCTTAGAGTCTGGTCCTTAACTTCAGAACAAGGGGCGCAAACTCAGGGGGAATAGTCGTTATTGTCGATTTTGCACTGAGGTGCCATCAACTACAGTACAGGACTTATATACATAATGCAAGACAAATAGGAACAAAGGGAAAACCCAAGATGGACTTACCCACTTGCCAGGTCAGCAAGCTTGTGAGAGAATTGCCTTATCAAGCATTGTGGAGTGGGTAGGTGAAGGGTGGAATTAGCAACAGCTATTGGGAAGTGGGAAAACCTTTGTGGGGTTGGCAGAGGTCCTAGGAGGTCCATAGTAATATTGGGTAGGTAGAAATATTAATAAACATCTAAGATGAGGATAAGAGGTACCAGAGAAGGTACCGGAGATCGGAGGCAGAGGTGGAACAGAGGTCTGGAGGGTATGGCAGGGGTGAGGGAGAGGATGAACAGGAGGTGAACCAGAACGTTGGCGGAGTAGTTATGGATATGACATTCTGCAACAGATAGAGGCCTTTGTTGGGTTTAGCATCCCTTTCATCCTTTGACAAAACAATGTCTCCACAATGTATCAGGGCTTTTTCATAAAATGCATTCGCCTCTGCCATGCAATTGGGGTAGTGCTTCTCAACAGCTTCTTGGTGTGATTTATGCAGCCTTGCAGCCTCTTGACTATCTATTCCAGCTGGGAAACAATTAGTCCCAAATATGGGCTGTGTTAGAATGGGCGGATTCGGACGACTCTGGAGTGGAGTCGGAGACTTAGCGTGGAAGGACCTCGGCCTCAGCGACTCAGGCAGAGTGCTGTGCCATTGCTGGTTGTCCTGGGGGTCCCTAATTTTGGATCTAGCAGAGGGGAAGTCTCTTGGGGGCATTTCAGGTCGATTTCGGACTGAGATTACAAGTTACTAAGTACATTGTATATAAGGAGGGGTCCGGAATCAAAAGGAGCAAGGTGTCAGAGACCAGATCGAGATGAAGGAATGTCTCCGTGGCGGAGGGCTTCGGCCTCAGTGACTTATGCCAGGAGCGCTGTGCCAAGTAACATGTCCATGCCCTAACCTACTAACTGGCAACCAGAACTAAAAGGGGTCAACTCTAGTCAATTTTATTACTGAGGTGTAACCTATGTACAAGTTGAGTATATATAGTTACAACGAGGGTGGGCCCATAAATGGCAGGGCCGAGCAGAGCGGAGCTAACGGAGTTAAACATTAGCTGATTGAATATTACCGACAAGTCAGGTTACGGGGTTAGTGGAATGGTAGGCAATAACCCAGAAACGGAAAGGAGGGATAGGCCCAAAGGTGGGCTTGCAGGGCAAACGAGTGTATTGCCCAGCAGAGGTGGGAGTGCACTAGTGGATGTCGGAGCTGTCCGGAAGCCTTCGGGGCTCCGTACTCAGGGAGGCGTAGGTAATAAATTGAAAAGAGGGGGTGGTGACCATCGAGGGATACCGAGGTGATTGCGGAATATGGGAGCTCCAAGGTTAGTGAAGAAGGAGCGGAGGTAGTCCGGAGAGATCAGAGGTAGTGGAAGTTGATGGCCGTGGATGGATATGACACAAGGGTACTCCAAAAGGAGACAAAGGGAGCTGGAAAGAGGAACAACACTGAGGGTCAAGGGTTTGACTCAATGGTGTTTCCCAAAGGAGGAGTGAAGGGCCAAGGCCCAAGGAGGAAGGAAGGAGGATGGGAGTGGGGAATGGCCAGCTGACTGAATAGAAAGGAAGCAGCAGCCCAAATAGGAATGAGGGAGAATAGCAGAATTGAATGGAGCAATGCAATAGTTGCAAGGTCCAAGGTAAGTCCGGAAAGTCCGAACTCAGAAGTTAAACTCCGGAATATTGGCAAACGTAATTAAATGGAATGAGCTAACCAATACAATGGGTATAAGCGGAGGTGGGGTCAAAGTCCGAGGTCGGAGCTAAGACCAGAGGTTCCGGAGACAGAGACATGAACAGGATTCCAGACGGAGGTCCAGAGTCGGGAGCATAGGTGTTGCATGCTCATCTGGAAGGTGTCAAGGATGAGGTCGGACCCGGAATGTTCTGGAGTTGGACCGAAGGTGGTGTCGGAGCTGGAGGTGGGATAACCTCTTGGGAGTCGGCAAGGAGAAGGTGACAGAAGGGAAGTAGGGCTCCAGAGTCAGTTTCAGAGTTCTGGGAGCCCGGAGCGGAGGTCGGGATTGTATGGATATGACAGCCCCCCCAGGCTCTGCCTCCTCACTACACAATGGTGGATAATAATCCACTGTTGCCATATTCACAGGTAATCAAACCCACCCCGCCCCATAACCTCAGTCCCCACAATGAGGGAATGTTGGTGGACAATGGCATTGTGGAAGAGGCCCCAAGGCTGAGATGTTTCCTGGAAGCCCAATGGACGCAAGCCCCCTCTGCTGAGAATGCAGTTGCAGGCCCATCTTGAGGGCCCCAGGCAAGTGGGTCCATGCCTGCCTGAAAGGGCAAAGCCAAGAAGGACTGATGTTACAAGCGGGAATGGACTCCTAGAGGGGAGAGAGCAGGAAGAAGGAAGGGAACGCTCCAGCTTACTCCCTGCTTCACACTTGATTGAACAATGGAAACCCCCCCTCTGCTCTGACCATCTGCACATCACTGTGGCAGCATTGAGTGTCAAATCCTTGTAACAGAGCAAAATAACAAGCACATAGAAGCTGTTACATAAATGGCCTTTGGGAGTTCATGAGCATCCATGGGCACCCATGAGAGTCCATGAATGCCCATGGGATTCCATGAACACCCATGGGAGTCCATGAACATCCACAGAAGCCCATGACCACCCATGGGAGGCTGTAAAAGTCATGTAATTTGTCAGAAAATCCATGGAACTCCATGGAACTCCATGAAAATCCATGAAATTTCATGAAATTTCAACAAATCCCATGGAATCCCATGGAATCCCATGAATTTTCATGAATTTTCATGAATTTTCATGGAGCCCATGGAGCATCTATCACTTTTCACGAGTTACTGGAATCTTTGTATGTTTTGTGGTTTGTCTGGCCATATGGTCAAGGACTGCCCAAAATCATCTTCTTGCACTTCTAAGGCATGAATTGCCCAAACTGCACCCTCTATGACTCCTCCAGTGGAGCCAAAAAATTAGTTTGTGCCTCTGTGGACTCAGCACAAACCTGGGGTTGCATTACTCCCTTGCATGCTATCAAAGAGGTTTGCTTAAGTGCTGCCTCAATATCCGAAACATCTTCCCTCATCATTCCCATCTCTTTCATCCCTTTTTCTTCTTCTCTTTTTTCTGGAAATGGTCTACTCTCTCCTCTGTCTCTCCCATCTGTTGTTGATCCAGGAAAACCTTTTCTCCAAATGGTCTACCTCCTTCATCATCTGTTGCTCCAAATCCTTTGTCCTCACTTCCTCTTTCTCCTTTGTCCGTTACTTCTGTCCCTCCTATTAATAAAAACACCCCTGATGAGCAATATCAAGCTCTCATTGATTCAGGATCATCAGATTGTTTCATTGACGAAAAGTTCATGATTAAAAACAACCTGTTGACCTATTTGGTTTCACCTTTGTCTGTTAGAACTGGGCGAGGGCAGACGATTCTGGAGGGGAACCAGAGACTTAGCAAGGAGGGACCTTGGCCTCAGTGACTCAAGCAGAGCGCTGTGCCATTGCTGTTTGTCCATTTGGTCCTTAATTTCATAGGCGGCGAGCAGGAAGTCTCTAGGGGGCATTTCAGGTCGATTTTAGACTAAAGGACTAAAACAAGTATGTACAGGCGCCAATATATAATGGAGAGGGTGAAAGCACAAGGAAACAAAGGGAGTCCGAATCGGAACGAAGGCGTCTGAATGGGAACAAAGGGATGACAGAAGCGGAGCGGTACCGAAGGTCATAGGGCAGAACCTGTGGTACATCCGAAAGGAGGTAAGGAGGGCGAAGCCCAGAGGGGCAGGAGGGTGAGGTGAAGTGGGGATGATGACTAACTGGCTAGAATGGGAAGAAGCAGCAGTCCAAATAAGGATGAGGGGAAAACGCGAAAGATACATTACAAGCGGCGAAAGTGCCGAAGGTGATCCATGGAGCTCGGGGGTTACGGAGCTTACAGAGGTTATGGAGGCGGGGTTGAAAGTCTGAGGAATATTGGCAATGGTGTTTACGTAGTATGAGGTCACCAATGCAATGGACTAAAGCTGAGGTGGAGTCAAAGTCCGAGGTAGGAACTATGATGGAGTCTCGGAGCAAAGGTACGAGCAGTGTCTGAGTACGAGGTACGGGACAGCGGCAGAAGGTTGTAACTTGGTGGAAGGTCGGCGGAAGAGGGCCAGAGGGAAGAGAGAGGAGAGAGGAAAGGGGAGAGGAGTGGAGGAGAGGAAAGGTGTCAGGTCCGAAGGTGAGTATTGGAGCGAGGTGTTGTGAGGAGGAAGAGGAGGAGTGGGAGGAGGAGTAGGAGGAGGGTGGTGAGAGGAGTGGTGTTCAGTCCGAGGTGAGTATCGGAGCAGATGGAGATAGGGCAGGAGAAGGACGGAGGAGTGGAGGTGGCATGAGGGGTGAGAGGAGGTGTGGTGTCAGGTGTGGTGTCAGGACCGAAGGTGAATATCAGAATGGACAGTGGTAGGGTAGGACTCCAGAGGTGGTGAAGATGGAGGTCCGGGAGTCAGGTCGGGATCGGGTATGTACAGATATGACATTGTCTCTCCGCTTGTTTGATGGGACCACAAATTCCATCATCACTAAAGCAGTGGACATTAAACTCCATTTTGCTTCCGGTAACATCACCCAGACGAATTTCTACATCACCTCGTTGGATGGTACTTGTTCCATGGTTCTAGGACACAATGGCTCACCCACCACAATCTGTTGGTTGAGTGGGTACAGAGCAGTATCTCGTTCCGAACCTCTGAACATACCAGTCCTGCCTCTGCACCCACCCCTTCGTTGCATCCGGAGCCTATTCCACCTGTTGACTCCACTACCCTGGTTACACTGATTGCATCTGACCACCAGGCTCCCTCCATCGAGTTTGTTAGCCGCTCTGCATTCATGAAGTTGTGCAAACTCAAAGGTTCTACCTTTCAGCCATTCCAGAGCAGTACCATGAATTTGTGGATGTGTTCAGCAAGAGCAAAGCCTCTATACTAGTGCTACATCATGAATACGACTCAAAGATCGACCTTGAGGAAGGCACATCACCACCCTAGGAATCCTTTACTCCCTCTCTCCCCTGGAACTTGAAGCTCTTCATGTGTTCTTGGAGGAACACTTAGCTTCCGGTTTCATCTGCCCCACTACATCCTCCCATGCAGCACCAGTTCTCTTTGTCCGCAAGAAGGATGGTTTGCTCTGCCTTTGTGTTGACTTCCGAGGACTGAACAAGATCATGAAGAAGGATCGTTATCCACTTCCCTGCATATCAGACCTCCTTGATGCTCCTAGCCATGCCAAAGTCTACACTAAACTCGACCTCCACCATGCATACCACTTGGTCTGTATTGCTGTGGGCGATGAGTGGAAGACTTCTTTTTGCACCCACTATGGATCCTATGAATGGCTAGTCATGCCGTTCGCTCTGACTAATGCTCCTGTGGCCTTCCAACGATTCATCAACATGATCTTTGCTGACCTCTTGGACATTTCCATGGTTGTGTATCTGGATGATATCCTCACTTATTCCAAGGATGTTGCTTCTCACCAGGAGCATGTCTGTGAGGTTCTCCAGAGACTCCATGCTAACGGCCTCTATGCTGTAATGGGTCTATCACTCTAGACTCATGACTCAGGTCTGGGGGGGGGGGTAGGTATCTCTCTATCTCTCAGGTAGATGTGGGGTATATTGGTCCAGTCGAGTCTGGTGCTGATACTATACAGCAGGTCACGGAAGAGTCCGATAGA